GATCAGATTCAGCTATAATATCTAATTCCTCTCCACTACTTAAATTGTTACAACCACTGAGAATGCTATTTTATAGTCACATTCCAATAGCAGTAAAGCTAGAAAAGAAAAATTGCAAATGGAGATATAATTAGCATGCATAGAAATGCACAACTAGTTACATAACAAAGGCTGATACAATTTAAACTTTTATATTTGAAAACAAGACTTTCCATTTAACAGGAATTACATTCTTTTTTTTGTTTGTTTTGAGACAGAGTCTTACCATGTCCCCCCCTGGGTAGAATGCTGTGGCATCATAGCTCACACAGCCTCAAACTCTTGGACTTAAGCGATTCTCTTGCCTCAGCCTCCCAAGTAGCTGCAATTACACACACCTGCCACAATGTCCAGCTATATTTTTTATTGTACTTGTTGCTGTTTGGCAGGCCTAGGCCAGGTCCAAACCCACCAGCCCCAGTATATGTGGCCAGTGCCCTAGCTGCTGAGCTATAGGCACCGAGCCTATAGCTTCTTCATTCTTTAAACTGGAGAATAGTTCCTATATGGAAAACTTTGGGGTTAAATCCAAACATAACTACAGACACAACTATCTTCACACTTTGAAGCACTTTGCCAACTCAAGGCTGAAAATCCCACACTGTGCTTGTTGTCAGTCCGTTGTTTTCCTCCCTGGTAGACTCCGGAAGTGAATATTCCACCACTCTCTGCAGCTGATGCTGAATGCTGTGCCCACTGAACTGGGGCCTCCCAGGGTCACCAATCAGTACTCGAGTTCTGTAGGTCCAGATGCAATTCTTCAGCCACTGATGGAGACTATCTGCAAGACTTTCATCATAAAACATATCTCCAAGAACAACAAGGTCCCACTTATCTTGTTGCAAATCCAAAATGTTTTTGGTTAAAATGGGCAAAGGATCCAGTCGATTCAATTCACAATTTAGTGTAATAGCCACTCCTGCAACTTAAAAAAGGCATATAATAAATTAATATATGATAGGCTATTACACTTCCCTATTGATTAACTTAAATAATTCCAAAAATCAGACAATATTTTCCCCCTATATGGGGAAAGGTTTTTTAGGGTTTTGTTTTTTTAAGGTAAAGAGTCTATAAAATTTAGGCTCAGCGCCTGTAGCTCCGTAGCTAGGGCACCGGCCACATATACCAGAGCTGGTGGGTTTGAATCCAGCCCAGGCTTGCAAAACAACAATAACAACTACAACCAAAAAATAGCTGGGCATTGTGATGGGCATCTATAGTCCCAGCTACTTGGGAGGCTGAGGCAAGAGAATCGCTTAAGCTCAGGAATTAGAAATTGCTGTGAGCTGTGATGCCACAGCACTCTACCAAGGGTGACATAGTGAGACTCTGTCTTAAAAAAAAAAAACTTATCTCAACTTGAGTTCTAATGGAATAAAAAATCTCCCCTGAGTGGCGGCGCCTATAGCTAAGTGGGTAGAGCACCAGCCATATATACCCAGGCTGACAGATTGGAACCTGCCCCTGGCCAGCTAAACAACGACAACTGCAACCAAAAAAAAAAAAAAAATAGATGGATGTTGTGGCGGGTGCCTATAGTCCCAGCTACTTGGGAGGCTGAGGCAAGAAAATTGCTTAAACCCAAGAGTTTGAGGTTGCTGTTAGCTGTGACACCCTATCACTCTACTGAGGGCGACATAGTAAGACTGTCTCAAAAAAATAAATAAATCTCCCCTGAAGACACAGGCCTAATCCCAATGGGGGTCAAATAAACACTATTTCAGGAAATTCCTAGCCAAGAAATTAACAAAAGTGCTTTATCTTTGGTATATAACCAAGATGTTTGATAGACACAAATGCAAATCCTCTTGGAAAAATATACCATCAACTCAGGCCTCCGAGGAGTCCCCCAAATAATGTTCCACTGAGATTACCAAAAAAAATGGCAATAAGTTATGACATTGACACATATGTATTTATCCCAGAAAGAAAAAAAAAAAGAGATGTCCTTCAAATACCATATTTTTAAATATGAATCCTTACTAGGGTCTATGTCATTGGCCAAGATCCTTGATGCCCCACTCATCTTAGCAGCAATAGCTGTAGCTCCACATCCACTCCCCAGATCTAATACGGATTTTCCTCTGACAACATCAGGATTATCCAGAAGATACCTAAATTAAAAAGAAAGGAGAAAACATGACCCAGAGAGATGGGAAAAGGCCAGTAAGAGGTATCGAGATTGAGAGAGAGAGAGAGAATCTTTAGGTTGACTGGACAAAAGAAATAGTAAAACCTAACAGAAGAATTTGGTCCAACTTTGGCAACTTTGGTCTTACTAGAATGAGACAAAAAATCCATCTAGGAAAGAAGACTTAGTTATTTGGTCCTTCTCTTAAATAGGTGTGAAGAGTAATTTCACACAATTGACTAATCATGCTCATTGACTTAAAAAAAAAAAGTTGTAAAGAAAAAGTCTCAGGACCTCAAAACCAATTATGCTAAAAGTCAAGTCTGGAGATTGAGCTTGTCACGTAACACTGTTGTCCTTTTCTCTAATAGATAGCTGTCACTTTGCATCCTCCTGTCAGAGCACTACATATTGGTCAGATCCCTACAAAAGTTAAGAGGTCTCATGCATCTCCAGATGACTGCCCTCAGAAATGGCTCCTAAGTAAATTTGTGGCCTCCCCTAAATCTTTCAAGATGTATATCCTAAACAAGGACATGTCAACTACAACCTAAGTCTAACCTCCTTGTCCATGAAGCTAAGGTCTGTTAAATTTCAATTGACAATGCTGACTACAAGTTTATCTTCCCAAGTGCAGAACAGAGCCAGGAGATCAATTATTCCTTCACCCATCCCAGGTATCTGCGTAATTAACTCTTCTCTTACTCCCTGTTTTTTTTTTTTTTTATGTTTACCTTTCCTTACATATGACATAGATTTAATGGATGTGAATTTAAACCTCACAAGAATGTAGCCATTTGTTTCACCACCTACCCCCCCTTTTCCTGCATGCCTTTTCCCTTGTAAAGACATGTATAAATACTGGGTCTCTTAAAACCTCTCTGAAGAGGACAGGCCACAGATGTTTCTGTGACTTATGTCTTCCTGGACACACCCTCATGCTCTGGCTCAATGAACCACTTGCCTCAGTCTCTCATTTGAGTTGACAAAATATTGAAGACTTACTATGATTCAGGAACTACCAAGCACCTGAAATCAAGACTGACAAAATATTGCTATAATTAGGACTAAGGAAATCATTCAAAAATCCACTGTCTCTCTTTGATTTTTCATCATAGAGTGATAAAATCTGCTTCTTGAATCATATTATCATGACCTCTCTGGGAAAGCACAAAGTCTAGTTCAACCAAGAAATTTGCACCAGAGCTAAATACTTCACAAACAAGTGAAGACAAATGCAGAATGTAGGGGCCAAGGCCTGTGGCCCCCTGAAGGTTCACTGAAAATTAATACATACAAAATTATTTGGGCAGTGCCTGCGGCTCAGTGGGTAGGGCGCCGGCCCCATATACTGAGGATGGGTTCAAACCCAGCCCCAGCCAGATAAAACAGCAGTGGCAACCGCAACACAAAATAGCTGGGCATTGTGGCGGGTGCCTACGTAGTCCCAGCTACTTGAGAGGCTGAGGCAAGAGAATTGCTTAAGCCCAAGAGTTAGAGGTTGCTGTGAACTGTGATGCCATAGTACTCTACTGAGGGTGACAAAGTGAAACACTCTCAAAAAAAAAAAAAAATTATTTAATGTGTATACATAGGCGCCTTCACAATGAAAACCCAAAGATACAGGGGAACTTGCCCATCTCTATGCTTAGGTTCCACAAAGCATGGACATCTCTGTAGGAAAGTGATTGGCCAAAAAGGGGATGATCTAATGCTAACGGACTGCTGGAGAAAACCCAGCAAGACCCGGCTGCCTAGATTCTTCTTGGCCTCCCTGAGCTTGCATTCCTTCCTTTTGGGTGAGGGGCAAGACCTTTTTTGGAATGGGGGTTTTATGACCTGTAGCCAAACAAGGTAGGTCAGATAATTTCTTTATGGCCAGTTTTTACACAGAATATTTTTACGTTTTATGGCTGGCCTTCAGGAAAAGGGGTTCTGGCCTCGAGGAAGAGGCCTTTCAGTTTCTATGGTCAGCCTCAGAGGACAGGACTGAGACAGATAGGCAAGAGAGGTCAGAGAAAAATTTTGCTTCTGAGGCCTTCATTTTGGGGTACTATTTTCTGCGCTCTAACAGGAAACATTGAAATAATGAATATCAGCTGACACTTGCTCTTAGGATTAGAATAATAAGGAATAGGGGATGCTATAGCAAAGTAGTCTAAAGTGCTGTTACCCATCTTCAGCCAATTGTTGACATACAATTCCAGTGTTACCCTGTATTTCTCAAAACAAAGTAGATTTTTACATGAATTCTCCCCAAGTTTTACATGTTAGCAACTAATTATTCTAAAGTGTACAAGTACAGGCCAAACAAAAAACACTAAAGGGTCACCAGTTAGGCCAGGCCCAGTGGCTCACACCTCTAATCCTAACACACTGGGAGGCCCAGGTGGGTGTAATACTTGAGCTCAGGAGTTCCAGACCAGCCTAAGGAAGAGCAAGACCCCATCTCTAAAAATAGCTGGGCATTGTGGCAGGCGCCTATAGTCTCAGCTACTTGGGAGGCTGAAGCAAAAGGATTACTTGAGCCCAAGAATTTGAGGTTGCTGTAAGCTATGATGCCACAGCACTCTACCAAGGGTGACAAAGTAAAACTGTCTCAAAAGAAAAAAAACAGGGGGTCACCAGTTTATAACCTATACATATACAGTCTCTTAAAGAGGTTGATTTTGAGTTGACAGTTACTTTAATAGCCGTCACTTGAATTGTCAGCATTTTAAATATGACATAACTAAATAAAGCTTGATAATCAGGCTAAGTACAGCAGCCCAGGACTATAATTCCAGCATTTTGTGAAGCTGAGGTCAAAGGAATCTCTTGAGCCCAGGGGTTCGAGATTAGCCTGAAAAATAGAGCAAGACTTCCATCGCTACGAAACATTTAAACATTGGTCGGGTGTGGTGGTGCACCTGTAGCCCCAGCTACTTGGGAGGCTGAGGTAGGAGGATTGCTTGAGCCCAGAAGTTTGAGGTTGCTATGAGCTATTCTGACTACTGCACTCTAACCCAAGGTACAGAGCAAGACCCTGTCAGAAAGAAAGAAGAAAAAAGGGCAGCGCCTATGGCTCAGTGAGTAGGGCACTGACTGGCCCCATATACCGAGAGTGCCGGGTTCAAACCCAACCATGGCCAAACTGCAACAAAAAAATAGCCAGAGAGTTGTGGCAGGTGCCTGTAGTCTCAGCTGAGGGAGGGACTGAGGCAAGAGAATGCCTAAGCCCAAGAGCTGGAGGTTGCTGTGAGCTGTGACACCACAGCACTCTACCGACAGCAACAAAGTGAGACTCTGTCTCTAAAAAATAAAGAAAAAAGAAAAAGAGGAAGAGAAGGAGAAGAGAATGGAAAAGGGAAAGGAACAGAAAAGAAAAAAAAAGAAGGGTAGACCAGGTGCGGTGGCTCACCCCTGTAATCCTACTCTGGCAGCTAAGGCAGGTGGATTGCTTGAGCTCCCAAGTTCAAGACAAGCCAGAGCAAAAAGTGAGACCCCATCTCTACTGAAAATAGAAAAACTGAAGCAAGAGGATCACTTGAGCCCAAGTGTTTGAGGTTGCTGTGAGCTTTGACACCATGGCACTCTACCCAGGGCAACAGCTTGAGACTCTGTCTCAAAAAAAAAAAGAAAAAGAGGAACGTAAAGGGAATGTGGCAACACAACCAGAAAGCTGGCATTGTTTGTACCACTCAGAAAGCTGTCTAATCCTTAAATTTCCTCAAAAAAGATCTATGCTGTCATTTATAGATTTTGCATTTATAAGTACATCTAATGTTAATTCTAAAGGTCATACCATTCCTATAAAACAGAAGTACTTATAATCCTTTTTGTTTTACAGCTTTATAACCTCAAGGCATAAACAAATTAAATCGTGTAGCAATCCTAGAACAAAGACAAGATCCAAATACTGAAAGTTGTTGCCCTTCTTTCAACGGCTGTATTTTAATAAAAAGGTAACATGACTCTGAAAAAAATGCCCTAAGAAGACCTTAGAGCAGTGGTTCTCAACCTTCCTAATGCCGCGACCCTTTAATACAGTTCCTCATGTTGTCATGACCCCCAACCATAAAATTATTTTCATTGCTACTTCATAACTGTAATTTTGCTACTGTTATGAATTGTAATGTAAATATCTGACATGCAGGAGACCCCCCCAAAGGGGTCACGATCCACAGGTTGAGAACTGCTGCCTTAGAGTATAAAGAGTAGAAAGGTGGGGGGGACCTTAAAAATGCAAACTTAAGTCCAGAGTGGGCTGGAGTTGTCAATAAGCCACTAGAGAAGAAAGAACCCTTGAGCAGCCAACTCATATCTCTTGCTCTATGGGAGAATAAGCAACTATGCAGGGAGGATGAGGTTTAAAGAGCAACATCCCCAGAAATTAAAGTAAGAGAACTGAAGGACTGGGTCATTAGGCTCCTTCTAGGAACTCTGTGCTAGTCATATGCTGTGAACCATGAACCTGAGGACAGCTGATATTTCTGGATCATGTATTAACAACTGACCCTAGGACTTCTCTTAGGGAAAGAGCTATATTTAGTAAAATACTCCATAAAGCTTGGGTTAGAAAGAGAAACTATGCAACAGAATAGCCCCCCCAAATACTGCTAACCTGTTCTAAATAAGAAAACAAAAAAGGGCGCCACCGGTGGCTCAGTGGGTAGGGCACCGGCTCCATATACTGAGGGCGGCAGGTTCGAACCTAGCCCCAGCCAAACTGCAACAAAAAAATAGCCGGGCATCATTGTGGCGGGCGCCTGTAGTCCCAGCTACTTGGGAGGATGAGGCATGAGAACTGCTTAAGCCCAGGAGTTGGAGCTTGCTGTAAGCTATGACTCCACAGCACTCTACCAAGGGCGATAAAGTAAGACTCTGTCTCCAGAAAAAAAGAGAGAGAGAAGAGAAGAAAACAAAAAGATTTTGGTCCGATTTTTGTAGGGGCAGGAAAATGAGGAGTTGGTAGGGGGCTGAAAAAAGAAAGGATATATGGCAGCTTAAGGTTTCCATTTCAAGAGGACAGTACCTAGACAGGGCTTGGCCTCCTGGCCAGTAGATAGCCCAGTAAGGATCACTGTAGGGCCACAAGTCAGCTCTTTCCCTCCAGAACTTGCATCTGGGGGTCAAAAGCCGCAACTGGATTTCAGGGGTTAGGCTGCCACTACTGGTGACTTCAGTGTTCTCCTCCAGGAAAGCTCTCATCTCAGGGTCCAAAAGGCTTCCAGCTCCTCTCCAGGAACAATGGGCCCAGGGAAATAAGAGAGGACTTCTCACAGCCTGCAAAAGGAGACCACAGCAGTTCCTTCGAGCTTTGCAACCTAGCTTCAACGCCATCAGGCCTTCTAAACACAGGTTTGGTCAATGTTGCTGTCAATGTTGATAAGAACTGCTCCTCATGGAAGAGGAAGAAGGTCTGTCTCTCAACTTGATCTCAAGTGGAATTTCTGGATCTCTAAAAGCAAAAATAATAATATAAAAATTCCATTCCTTTCCAGATCTTATCACATAATAAGATAATAAAATAATAATATAAAAATTCCATTCCTTTCCAGATCTTATCACATAAAAATTCCATTCCCTTCCATACCTTCTACATCTATTACAGTGTAATAAAAATAATAATATAAAAATTCCATTCCTTTCCAGATCTTATCACATAAAAATTCCATTCCTTTCCATACCTTCTACATCTATTACAGTGAGGCCACATGTGGTGGCTCACACCTGTAATCCTAGCACTCTGGGAGGCTGGGGTGAGTGGATTGCTTGGACTTAGAAGTTCAGGACCAGCCTGAGCAAGAACAAGACCCCATCTCTACTGAAAAATAGAAAAACTAGCCAGGCATTGTGGCGACTATAGTCCCAGCTATTTGGGAAGCTGAGGCAAGAAGATCAGTTGAGAGTTTCAGGTTGCTGTGAGCCATGATGCCATGACACTCTATCCAAGATGACAGAGTGAAACTCTGGCTCAAAAAAAAAAAAAAAGAAAAGAAAAAAAAATATATATATAGCATAATGTAAGCTCTGTATCTGACAGTTCACAAGCACAAGTTCACTTCAGATGAAAGCTTTGGTGCATCAACTTGGGGAAATCCAATCTTTCGACAGGATGCATTTTTCTCAAAATAATTGTTTTAGGCCAGGCACAGTGGCTCACATCTATAATCCTAGCACTCTGGGAGGCCAAGATTGGTGGACTGCTTGAGCTGAGGAGTTTGAGACCAGCCTGACCAAGAGTGAGACCCCTGTCTCTACTAAAAATAGAAAATCTAGCCAGGGGTCATGGTGGGCAGCTGCAGTATCAGCTACTGGGGAGGCTGAGGCAAGAGAACTGCTCAAGCCCAAGGGATTGAAGTTGTTGTGAGCTATGATACTACAGCACTCTACTCAGGGTGACAGAGTAAGAATTTGTCTCAAACAAAACAAAACAAGAATTGTTTTAATAATTTAAAACAAAAAATATGTAAGCATCTGATTGTGAGAGAATCCTCAAGAAAATGCCTGTTACATAAAACAAGGGATACAGTCATCCCTCAGTATCCATAAGGGTTTAGTTCCAGGATCACCCACCCTACTCAAATCTAAGGATGCTTACATAAAATAGCATACTATTTGCATGTAAACTATACACATCCTCCCACACACTGTACTTTAAACCATCTAGATACTACTTAATAAGATGTAAGTGCTACGTAAATACAGGAGACCCTCCCTACATTGACCGCCTCCTTAAGTTGACCCAATTTTCATAGGCAGGATATTTATCACAGGTTCTCAATCTAAGTTCCTTTGATCACCTTTCTATGTTGCCTGCTTTGTCACAGTCCCTTGGGTGGTCAACTTATAGAGGCTCTTCTGCAGTTGCTATACTGTGGTTTTTGTATTATTTTTATTGTTATATTGTTATTTTACACTGTTATATGATTATATGGAAGGCCAATTACACCTTTAAAGTTCTTTATTACATTTTATAAAGCACTTAGTTTTAAGCAGGTATGACTGGCACCTCTTAACAAAATAAAAGTCCTCCATCTTCAGGAAGCTTACAGGCCAGTGGTTGGCATGACAGCATGCCAACATACATGTCAGGTCACCAAGAGTGAACTCCGGGGTAGACCGTCAATGGGGTCCATATCTCAAATTCTGCCCAGGAGATCCCAGGGATTTCTAAGGACCTAACATCCCGACTAATTCTGTCAAGCAGAATTGGACTATCCATTGACTCATACAAGCCTAAGGTTTAAAAATAAAGCAGAGCAAATAGGAGATTTTGGATTTGGACGCCATGCCATTTAGGCCACATTTCCTTCTCCTTCTCCAGCTTCAATGAGGCATCGGTTATGAGGTGTGTGATTAAGTGGTGGGCAGTTGGCATCAATATTAACAGATAGGGAAAGATGACGGGATAAAAAGGGTTAAGTTCCAAAAAGTGTTTGTGACCACTTTATTTTCTGGCGAAGGACAACAGGAGCCGATCTTAAAGGAGCAGGCACAGGCCTGCTCATCTCCTTACCTAGCTTTGGTAACACCACACACGGAATTACAGCACAGGGCACATCTGTCACTCGCCCCGAGAGTCTTTCCGCACATCCTTTACCGCCACGCGTGGAGGACCGACTTCCAGAGACCCAGGCTGCACAAAAGGAAGGGCCGCGGGGGGAGGGGGCTGCTGTATGGGGCGGGGCTGCGGGGCTGCAGGAGAGGGGCGGAGCCGCGGAGGGGCGGGTTGAGTTGCGAGGAGGGCTAAATTGCCCCGCCCCTCCCGCCCTTCCCGCCCCTCTCTAAGCTGTGCTTTCTAGTTCCGTACACTTTCTTAAAGGGGCAGAAGTGCGAAACCCAAAGACAGCCTCACCTCTCCCGGAAAGTAAGGGAACGTTGAATGTGTGCAATGTTTGTTGAATTCTGATTTCTGAAATATTCATCTTGAAACTATGTAGATAACATCTTCCATGTGCCAGTCACACTTTCAGGCCCTAGGCATAGAGTGGCAAGCAACACAGACGCCGGCAAGTAAGGTGAATAAGCCCTTCAGGATGCTTACGCTCAGCTGCGATTAAATCATAATGAATGCCCTCCCTTTTGTAATAATTTTCATAACTGCGCTGTCTAAATCAATTTGAAGCCTATATGTGGATCCGCTAGAGTATGGATCCACATATCTACCTTTCAAGAAACTAAACTCAGATTATCTCACTGACCCCTCTACTCAGCACTCCAAAATCAACTCACTATCTCACCCGACAACAATTAAAACCTACTCTGGCTGGCCAGAGAGAGAAAAACTGCCCAAAACTAAAAAGAAAGGGGCAAACCAGGTTACTGCACCTTAGTTTGCTGTTTGAGGAATGCACTGGCAGCAGATTGTTCAAAATCAGAGCCTGTCGGCTCGGCGCCTGTGGCTCAACCGGCTAAGGCGCCAGCCACGTACACCTGAGGTGGCGGGTTCGAATCCCCAGCC